CGGTAAAGCAACGGTGGGTGGTGCATTTACGTTGTAGATGTCTATGGGCTCCAGTAACCACTTAACACCAGGTGTGCTGTGAGCTCATCCACTCATCTAAGCAATAAAAAAATATATATAAACAAACTTGTGGTTTAAGCATTAGTACTGGCAGCTATCATAGAAAACAAGAAATACGATACAATATTTTCAAGATTAATTTGCATGGATACAAGCACCGAACAACATGATCGTTGTTGACTCAGGTTTTTCTTCATGTATGTGTATGTAGCATTTAATCGCATTTCCAAGTAGGTTTATTACGATTACTTAATTGAATAATATTAAAGGTTGTATCTAGTATATCATCTCGTAATTTCTCTCTGTACAATTACCTGGAATATGTATATCGTTCCAAGTCCTAAAGTGCTTATTCTTACACTAATTAATTTGCTTTAATTGTTTTTCATACGTTTGTTGTTTTAACCTAGAGATAGGTTTAAGAATTTAATAATATTTAAGATTAGGGATAGGTCTTTGTTGCAAAATAGTAAGAATTTGTCTCATAAAAAAATTAAAATTTAAATAGAACGGTATAGGTACATACTGCATGAATGCGCTTCGTTCGAGTTCGAGTAGACTGTATGGTTTGTATAAAGTAGGCGGATTGTGAGAATACAAAATGCTTAACGGTTTTCTTCGTTGTTGCTTTAGATCTATAGGCAGCAGTCTACCTCATCCAATAATGTGTTCGGGATGGAGGTGATCGCGAAACAGTATGGAAGATCGATTATACAACTATAACATTTTTGAACATGTGAGAATGTTAAATGGTTATCCCATTTTAACTTTTAAGTTTCGCGCCAATTTTATTTGTTTAATTGTGTATCTGTGGTGGTCTCGAATAGAATTTATTTATTTGTGAACTTTTTGCAAAGGTTGTTAACAGATAACGTTACCACCACGTTAATTGAAATAGGAATTGATATTTGCAATAATAAAAACTGTAACAAACGATAACTTTATTTCATATGATATTATTTATAATAACAACGTTTTTACGTACCTTCGTCAATACAAATGGTAAATAACACATACAACAATAATTTAATAGTTATATTCAATAATTGACCGATACATATCAAAATTTAAATTTAAATGATAAATAAAATTACTTTAATATAAATTAAATGATATGTTTCGTCGCATGTTATATATCTTTCCCTCCTTCGTGGTTATATTAGCAGTAGATTATGCATTTCTCAAAATTTAACAAAAGATAAATAAAGATATATTTGAATAAGTTCACTTCATAAATGGCAGAAGAGTAAATTATCGACTATTATTAATAGAAGAATTATTAATAGAGGGGTCATTGACTATGCTTGTCTTGAAATAAAAAAAGCATTATTTCAACGTAAATAAAACAATTAACTGCCGATATCACGAGTGCGGGATGTACATTTTTTTCTAAAACTAGAATTTCGTCAAACCGCAATGTGAGCCGTACAGAAATCGGAGGTCAACAACCCTTACACGAGGCGCCTGCCGCCTGCGTTCATTACAACAAATTACTGTTTACTTCATCGTTTAAAGGGTATTTATTATTATTAAATGTAAAAACTTTGTCTTTTATGTTTAGCTAGTTTTTGGGTTAATCTATTTTCACCAAATTTTAATGGAATTTGGATTATCGGTTGAATTGATCGACTATGTTGAGGAATTGGTAATGGACTTTCACAACTACGATATAAACAAAACACAACACTGAAACTGCTAACATAACCCATTTATATTCAACACTTAGCTCCAAATACCATAAATGCCAATTGATATATTGTTATAATAGTTACAAATCCTCTTAAAACAGTCGATAGGTTATTTTGATATCAACAAAAACATATAGAATTGACTTGCATTATTTCTTAGTAAAGAGACATTTTCATTTAATCATTGGTTTCTTTTTTTCGTCAGTACATATTTTTACGTTCACAATCACCATTTTTTATGTTTCACTCGTTCGTTTTGTACTTTATTCCTCATTAATGGAAATATTATGGAATGTATATATATATAAAAGTGAAATTAATTTGTAATTTCCAAACTATTTCACGAATGGACAGTGGAAAATCTCAGGAAAATATGTCCAAGTAATTCACGTGATTGAAATGTTATGTTTTAATAATACTGTATGCTCACAGTTTTGTACTTACATCTAAGTTTATTTATTCATCTTTCTTAAATCATTTCTTAAATCAATTTATTTAGAAAATAATATTTTGTTTTCTATAAAATAAATCGTCAAAGTACATGATATAATAGCTAGTAATATTTTGCGTTTAGTAATTTATGACTTTTTGGCGGGAACGAAGTTGACTGTATTGTTATATTATTTTTAATTTTATGTTTCTTCAGGTTTAAGTGTGTATTAACAGTGGTTTATTAACTGTTTAGCATCTGTAAAAGTGCACACATGCGGGAAAAAGTAGGAAATTCGCTTGACGCAACTTTTTCCAGTCTCCTGCAAAAGTCAATAAGTACTTAACCACCACATCACCGAGACTTTGTTTCATCCCAATTGATTAAATTCTCAAATTAATCAACTTCATCCCTTTCCGATTCATATTATTTTTTATATAGCGGAATACAGGAAGAAATAAATTTGGCTAAAAGGTCTCGTTGCCAGACCATAATACCTAAAAAAAAAGTGTTTTTTTTAGTTTTCAACAAACTATTAAATCATTTTGCATATGTAAGGTATATTTTAAATTGATTAACAAATTCATTAAATAATCGGTCCCATAATAATTATATCAATGATCCCTATCTATTTCCGTGTCAAAATTTTACTTTTTAAAAAGCAAAGTTTATATTTTACGCCGTATTGCAAAATAAAGAATATAATATATGCTCATAGCTTCTTATTGAACGTGGCTCATATTTTATGTTTATTTAAAATATTATTATTGTACAAATTTTTTTTTAAATACTGGGAACGATTGGAATCATTTTAAATATAGAAGTCGTTTTTCTATTACCGAGGTTTCTGTTATTCAAATTTTTTTTTTGTGATACATTATTTTATGTTTATGCGCTGATGTTAGTTTGATAACAATTTTAATATGATAAATACGTAACAAAACAGCGAAAGGCTGGAAGGTCACCGTTACAAAAAAAAAATAATAAAAATAATTAAAGAACAAAAAGAAAAGAGTAATATTAAAATTAATAGTTTACCATTAACTTGTACTTGTTATTTACATGCAGCCATATCACAATGAACAACATTTAGAATGTATCTCATAACTAGATCTCCGAATATACCACAGAATATCCCTCATTACATACAATTCCACAGCAGTCACTAAAATACGTATTTGTTTTTATTTTCTATCCTATTTTATTTTTTAGGCGAACCTAACCTTAAATGCAGTTATTGCTATTGTTAATCCAAGCAATCAGACTTGCAACCGTGAGCACTAACTGGCACGAAATTACTTATCTGATACGGCGATAATAAATTGATAATCCATGTCAAAATGGCAGATGTAAAAACAATCAAATGCATCTCATTACGATTTTATGGAATCTAATTAATAATCTTTTATTAATAATTAGACTAATAATGAATTTTTGTAAAATGATTTTATTGCACCTGAATATGTACTCTACGGCTCTCAAAATACAGCACTTATTCGTTTGTAGTATTCTGTTATTTTAGACAGCTCATAGACATCTATAGTTATATACTACAGTTCAACTAGATCAGACTCGGCTGTGACTTTAACTAATTGCATTGAAAACAAAAAAATATTATTAAAACTACTCGAACGCCACCTGTCGTACGTGGATTGTATTATATTTAAGCTTATCAGTTATTAAATCATTATACATTGTAAATTTACTGAAATCATTGCAAACTTTGAATTTACATTATTACGATTATATTTTCGAGGGATTTCTTGAATTTAAAACATTAGCGTCAATTTTAATTAACCTAACGCTCTTGCCCACGGTTGGATAGCATTACCTATTTTAAGAGATACAAGTGATTCTGTGTGCACATTGATCATATTGCTCAGAGAAGACACTGAATTCTAAAAGCTAAAGCTATGTATCGCGACGCGTCTAATTCTTACGACTAGTATTTTTTTTCTTCTTTCTAATTATAAACAAGAAAAAGGAATAACATTAGTCAACATATTATGTCTACTGATAAAATCTAAAACATTTTAATTAGAATTTAATGAACCTCTTCGATTATTAGGCACAGACCTATAGCACCGTAACCGGATACATGACAAGATGAAAAGCATCTATTTTTAACATTACTCTGTGTCATTACAAAAAAAAATCATTTAAATTTGGAAGTAAACATGCTGTGTTAAATGGAAGTACATAATTTTCAGTTAGTATGTCAAAAATCAATTTCTTAAGAAGACTTCATTGATCCAATAGTTAACAAATACAATAAAGTGTGTGTGTGTGTTAGAGAAACGTTCCAGAGACGAAATGCGTATTATATACCTTAACATATATCGACATAAAGTCGTATTTATTTTTTGCTAAAAACATCACTTTCAGAATATTAATATGTATTTATTTATCTGGAGCTGTCTTTTCTAGTAGTGGAAATAAGGTTTTAAAAATTTTGTACGTTTTACATTGCTGGCTTGTGAGACTTATTTTTGAGCTTTAGTTGTGCTTACTGATGTTAAGTGGCTATGAAAGCCAATAAGCAACACAAGCCGAATACGACAATCCAGTTTAAGATATAAGGTCTCATTTGCTTTATTCCACAGGATCGCACGACAGTTTAGCGGCAGAAAGAGCTATAGGTTTTTTTTATTTTATTTTATTGCGTAGATGGGTGGACGAGCTCACAGCCCACATGATGTTAAGTGGTTACTGGAGCCCATGGACATCTATAACGTAAATGCGCCACCCACCTTGAGATATAAGTTCTAAGATCTCAGTATAGTTACAACGGCTGCCCCACCCTTCAAACCGAAACGCATTACTGCTTCACGGCAGAAATAGGCAGGGCGGTGGTACCTACCCGCGCGGACTCACAAGAGGTCCTACCACCAGTAATGCCATAAATCTACCTGTATGGGCATAAAATAACCTTTAGCAGCAGCAATTTGCAGATTTTATAAAACTTGCGGTTTGAATTTTATTCTACGATATAATTCATTCAACAAGTCATCCGAGAACATGTGTTAGGTACATATATACTCAATGGCTTCTAGGATTTGAGCCTTAGCATCACGTTGCAATTCCCCATACAAATACATAGTAACAATATTTCCATTAAAAAAAAGTACATAGTTTTAATTTATGTCGAGCTACAATAGTTTTGGCAACGTGAACGATTCTCTTACACATTACATGAAATTTAAACATACTTCCGCGGAAAAATAAATATGACAAATAATTATTTACATTTAGCAACATACGATTTAGCAACTCTTACACTAGGGTTGTCGCTTGTTACTAATTATTACATACTTAATGTGTTTTACACTTGTTATCATGATCATTTGTCATAAGCATCTCAGTTGATGCTTCATTGAAAGATACGTTCAGTGTGCTTAGTGCGAGTTTTTTAACGTTCTCGATAGCGTAAAAGTTAACTCAAATTTGTATGGAGTTGGAACGTTTGCCTACGTTTGCCGCTAGGAGCGCTGTTCCAGCTCTATACAAATTTGAGTTAACTTTTACGCTATCGAGAACGTTAAAAAACTCGCACTAAGCACACTGTTTGTCGTTAGGGGTGACCGATGCGAGCGCTATAAGTCGGTCTCGGTCCACTGTTAGTCGCCTCGCCGCAACCTTCGAGCCGCCGCCGTGTTGTGACGGTATAACCACACCTGCGATAATATTTATACAAGTCAGCGTACTATCTACGTGTGCAATGATAATACTTGAAATTGTAGTATTGTTTAAAATGACTCACATGCTGATAAAATCAGTATAAAATAGACTTTATTTTTGAAGTGAAACTCATAATACGATTTCGAACAAGGTAGCGTTAAACGTTTAACGCTACCATGGAATAGAAAGAGACAGAGCGAGAGTGAATGCGTGGCACTCGAACGCATGCGCGTAGTATACCTATTACAGGCCAGCACGAGCGTTAGCAACGAGTAGCGTCCAATATTTTAATGAAGTATTTAAAAATATATATATGTATATTTATTTTTCTATCTATAATTTAAAATATATATAAAATAAATGTTGAAGATGTCGCATTTCTTATACACAGCATTCCCTATTACGAGAGCAATATGATTTAAGGATGAAAAATGAAGAAAACCACAATACTACACATCGAAAAAGAAATTTCACTTCATTTCACGTGCACCAAGTTGCACGCGCATCGTTTTTTTGTAGTGAATTAAATCAACGTCTTGATGCTTTGTACGCTTTTACGTACATGCACAAAATGAATACAAGTTTATATACTTAATTTCCCATTAAGGTACCATCGAATTTAATGTTCTAGATCAGAAATATTAAGGTTAGGTATTTAAAACTTACTTGGAATAAAATAACGACATCAAGGAAGACTTGTAAACCGCCACAAACCCAGAATTGCGTTGGAGCCTCTCTAATAATAAAGTATGCAGTCTTAAAAATGTCGCCACACGTCCACATTATCACCATGCTGACACTGAAACATTATACTATATAAACTAAGCAATATTAACAGTGATAAACCAAACAAGTGACCAATGTGCTTCCCTATGATTTTCTTGGTCAAATATTTAGTACTAAATATTAGTACATATTTTAATATTAAGTAATACTACTAAATTTAGTGCTAAATACATGAGATATTTAGTACTAAATATTTGATGTAGTTTATTTGAATTAGTGTATTAAAAAGAATTTAATAAAATATATATTTAAAAAAAAAAAACTAAGTTTACAAATACAAAGTCAAATCGAATGAAACAAAACAAAAATATTGACTAATAAAAGGTTTCCATTAATGAATCTTCCAAGTTCTTTTATCATAATACTGTATTATCAGTAGAAATACATTTGAGATGTTTGATGATGAAATAACAACAACAAGAGAACTACAATAAAATTTTAAAGGTTCCACAATGTATTCGTACCACATTCAATTCAAGTACTGGTGGTAGGACCACCTGTGAGTCGCACGGGTACCACCGCCCCGCCTATTTCTGCCGTGAAGCAGTAATGCGTTTCGGTTTGAAGGGTGGGGCAGCCGTTGTAACTATACTGAGACCCTAGAACTTATATCTCAAGGTGTGTGGCGCATTTACGCTGTAGATGTCTATGGGCTCCAGTAACCACTTAACACCAGGTGGGCTGTGAGCTCGTCCACATATCTAAGCAATAAATAAAAAATAAAAAGTTACCAGACAGTAACAGTAAACAGTAGATCTGTTGTAGTATTGTTAATAAGCTATTATTAATTAAATAAATAATAAGTGGGAACCAATCACGCACGGTCATCCAGCCTCAAATTAGGATATTCCCTGTGTTATTGGAGCCACACAGTGATATGCATAATTATATACATTTAAATACACATATGGATAATAAACACCTGAATGTTTGTACTATGTAGGAATCAAACCCACGACTTTCGCCGCAACAGTCAGGGTCGCTAACTAGTGCACCACCGATTCACTCAGTTAATCGAAGCAATTATTCTCTTAATGTTATTATAAATGAAGATTACTTTTAAGTGTAGTTCATCAAAATAAACTAGGTCATATTTATTGTATTAAAATCGAAATTACACAGGTGGTGGTTAATAAATTTACTATTCATGCATTTGATTAACCCGAAAACGAAATTGTACTATTGAGAGAAACAAACCGAATGGTCTTATTACTGATGATCTATATCTATTTAAGGCTCAGGAAGGAATTCGTGGTAGGAATTTTACTATTGGTAAGTAACTATACTGAGACCTTAGAACTTATATCTCAATGTGGGTGGTGCATTTGCGTTATAGATGTCTATGGGCTCCAGTAACTACTTAACACCCGGTGGGCTGTGAGCTCGTCCCCCCCCGTAAGCTATAAAAATAAAAATTAGCAGTAAGTCGAAGAGGCTGAGATAGGATATCCGTATTTTCTGATTAATGCCCAGATAAGCTACCATTGATATAAGATCCTCTGACCGCCAAATAAATGATCAATTGTTCCCTTAGAACGCCGGGCTGTACTATGGAATTAGAATAATCATACATAATAGGTTGAGGAAAAAGTCTTTTCGCATTATAGTTTGTATGAACTTTTTATAAAATCTCTTTGGCTATACTATTTGTATCTGGCTGGTTTTGGTATCATTAAAAGTTTAAATTTTAAAGAAGATAATCAGGAAAATGTGTGATTTTTATTTATTTTTCGTACTGTCAAGATGAGTGAATCTAATGAAGAAATTCGATACATTTTAAAATTTTAATACATAAAGGTAAAAATGCAACGCAAGCCGCGAAAAAAATTTGCGATGTTTATGGCCCTAGTGCAGTGTCTGCGAGAGTAGCACAAATTTGGTTTAAGCGTTTTCAATCCGGAAATTTTGATGTCAAAGATGCACGTGGCTCTGGTCGCCCTATTACGGATAAAATGGATGCCATTTTTGAAAAAATGCCGCAAGATCGGCATATCTGTAGTTATGACGTAGTGTAAGAACGTAAGAACTGGGAATTGTCCACAAAACAGTTTTGACGCATTTGAAAAAACTGGGTACACAAAAAAGCTCGATATTTGGGTACCTCACGAGCTCACTGAAAGAAACCTAATGAACCGTGTACTCATTTGTGATTCTTTATTACGACGTAATGAAACCGAACCATTTTTGAAGAAGCTGATAACTGGTGATGAAAAGTGAATCATGTACGACAAGAACGTGCGAAAAAGGTCGTGGTCAAAGTCCGATCAGGCTTCAGACTGTGGCGAAACCCGGGTTAGCTCGCAACATGGTGATGCTGTGTGTGGTGGTATTGGAAGGGCATTATTCATTATGAGCTGTTACCACCAGGCAGGACCATCGATTCTTAACTCTACTGCGAACAACTGATGAGATTAAAGTAAGAAGTTGAGAGAAAGCGGGCGGAATTAATCTACAGAAGGGGTGTGGTTTTTCATCATGATAACGCTAGACCTCACACATCTTTAGCCACTCAGCAAAAATTAAGAGAGCTTGGCTGGGAGGTGTTCAGATTTCCACCTGTTTCGGTCTCTTCAGAATTCTTTAGGCAGCGTCAGGTTAACATCACGAGAGGACTGCCAAAACCAATTGTCGCGATATTTTGATCAGAAGCGCCAAATTTTCTATAACAATGGGACCATGTCCCTACCCACAAGATGGCAAAAAGTTATCGAACAAAATGGTACCTATATACTTTAGTTAAATGTAAATACAGTATATTAAAAAATGCGCAGAAACTTTTTCCCCGACCTATTCTAAGGAATATGAAGGTTTGCTTGCAACATTGCTAACTAAACCTGCATGTACTTTGAACTCACCTCATTCCTTCAGTACTTTTATTCTGTAAATTCTTGGCTATTTGTGGTGCACCGAGCATAGCCTCAGTGAAAACCGCCATGAAGCCAATCAACTCCACGAACGGTGAGAACTCTATCAAGAGATATGTGACGGCCGCGCCCAGTACCGAGAAAACGAGCATGCAGTCCACGTAACTCTGGAAGTCTGTCCACGCCCAGAAGTACTTCCTTTCCATATCTGCAGAAGAGGAAATTATTGGGTAAGTATTATTCGCGTAGTATCTACAAATCATTTACATTTATAATCAATGTTATATGTTGCAACATTTAATATTAATTTAATGTTATGAAGATACCTTCAGATTGGGGGGAGGTCAGGGGGGGGGGTGGACGATTTCTATGATCGTAGGTAGCGATTAGGGCCGGTGTCAAACGTGCTGTAATGGGAGATATTTGAAACGCACGTAGCTAAATAGCTGACCTCAGTTTAAATCCCTCCTCAGATAGCGTTAAAGTTAATTCAAATTTGTACGGAGTTGGAACGTATGCCCACGTTTGCCACTAGGTGCGCTGTTTCAATTGCATACAAATTTGACTTAACTTTTATGCTATTGAGAACGTTATAAAAGCTCGCACTAAGCACACCGTTGTCATTAAGTTTGTCGCTCAACTGCTAACATTATGTAATTGAAAATATTCCATAATGTAATATAAGGAGTCATTGTACCTTTTTATTAAAATCCTTAGTTACATTTATGGAATCATTTTATTTTTATTTACACCGTCATGTTTTATTTTGAAGTCGTCGTGGCCTAAAGGATAAGACGTCCGGTGCATTCGTGTGTAGCGATGGTGGTGGTACCTACCCGTGAGGACTCACAAGAGGTCCTACCACCAGTAAAAAAGCTGTGTTCAGAGTTTACAATTTCACCTTGGTATAAATCAACTTTCATAATAGAATGGCTATCTATACCAATATTATAAAGAAGAAAGATTTGTTTGTTTGTTTGTATTGAATAGGCTCCGAAACTACTGAACCGATTTGAAAAATTCTTTCACTGTTTGGAAGCTACACTATTCCCGAGTGGCATAGGCTATAATCTGTTTTGAAAAAAATTAGGGATCCTTACTAAAACTCTAATAATGTAACCCAAGGTGTAAAAATTACCTATAATATTTTTTACATCGCGTGCCCTGCGAAAACTATCGATGATAGAATAAAATAATGTATTACGACATTGTAGAACACATTATTATTTACAAAAAGTGTCGCGACAGCATATGTGTTATGCCGCAATAAGTGTTCTTTTATTTAAAAAAATAAAACAACGTCAAATATCGTTGAATTTTTTGTTAAAGAACCGAGCGGAACCGGAGCGGGCCGCTTGTGTTAAATAAAAAGGACGATATTGTGAATGCTTTTCGAAGGTCATTTGGGGAATTAAAAAAAGTTTTGAATAACTATATTAAAAATATTTGTCATGACATTTTTAGAAGTTCGTAGGCTTAGGGACCGTTATTAATGTCGAGTTACGTTAAAAGGATTCTCTTTCAAAATGTGTTGAGTTTGAAGATGACCAAATTTTTTTGTTATCTGTAGGTATAGATAAGTGGATGTGTAGAATATAGTTAAACTTTAATGCGTGCTAAACGAAAAACGATGTATTGACATTAATCTTATCCTAATCACAAGTTAAATAAAACAAAATATTTTTTTTTATCTGTATGTTTGAGATTAAAAAAAACTTTAAAATGAAATGTTTATATTATGATTAAAAAAATCTATGCTGACTGTCAGTATTTACTATATTAGAGTCATCACTAATTGTAGAAATACAAATGTCAAAGTTGTTTATTAAATGTATATAATTAAAACGTTATAATTAATTTCAGTCTAGAAGAATCTAAAAAAGGAAATTAAAAATATCAACTCAAAATATTATTTACTAAATGAGTACTATACTGTACTTATATAAATTAACAAATTATCATTTACAAATGCCTTACAAAATCATTCCTTAATAACCATAACAATCAATCAAATAACAAAAATCACTGATGTAATGTTAGTACCAGATGTAAATAATCGTTACATAAAGCAGTGTTGATGTTGAAATTTTTCTCTATAAAATAAGAAAGCTGAGCTGCATCATACTATACCAAAATGATGAAATATTAAGTTTGTTGGGTACAAACATTAAAATATTTGTGTTGTAAGATTGTCTTGCTATATCAATCATAGTAAATAAACATTAATTTAAAATGATAGTACATAACAACTAACTAGGAAACAAATGGCAAAGGCTAACAAAATAAAGAGATTGCGTGTAACATATATTTGACCCGATTGCAGATTCATTCAGATTTATTTATAAGATTGTTTAGTTATCAGAACATTGAACTTTGTTAGTTACAACAATGTAATCTGTAGATTATTTGCGTGCGTACATTCATGAAGCTTTGTACATATCCATTTAATTATTTATACTTTATGTACAAAATAAAAGTCAGAAAACTTATTGGTTTTATTTCCATGTCAACCTCAGAGTGATGTAAAGATGAAGTCTGTATAATAATCACCATTTCCCCATGCATTATATAAAAGCAAATACAAAATATACCACATAATTTTATAATACAAAATGACATTGCTCTGACAAATGAAATTGATATGATGATTGGTCACTGAAACAAAACAAAAAAAAATGTAGAAAAGGTATTTATTTATATGACAGTATATGGTCAAATGATGTACACAACTTTATGCTCACCATAGAAACGATGGGGTTTCTCTCCACCAGAGATACCGCTGCGCTGATTCAGCCAGCGTGCTGTCTCATCCGGCTGAGCTGGTCCATTCACACAACATAATAGTATATATAACATGAATATTGCATCTAATTGTCACCAATACCCCGGCCACCAACATAAAATTATGTTAAAATAAAATTAATTACAAGCAAATAAAATTAAGATATATGCTTATGAATGGAGTAGTGATATACATAAATAAAGAGAAAATAACTGACTGAAAAATAAAATATAGTAAACTGTATTAATTAAGTGTAAGTACATTTTTAATTTGTTTCCTTTTTTTAAACAAATTCACATTATGTACATTTGATACCAGATTTATATTGAGTCATAAATAAAATGAAAAAAATAAAAAACTATGTTACATTATACCAGCAAAAAATAATATTTCCAGAGCAGCTAACTACATGTTTTACTTAATGTTTAATTTCAGCCACATCCAGTACTAACCTGTGAATATTCTTTCTCTTGCTCTGATAATCTGGTTCTTTTTTCGAACTGACACACAAAGATGAATCATAACAAACATAGTCACATTCATTACAATGCTTTGAATTAACAAAGGTAATTCATAACGTTTTCCAAACCTAAAAATCAAATTTTATACATGTTTATTTTTATTCATTAAAGTTAAAGTTAAGTATTGTTGAACTATAGTTTACTTTAAAGGCACATACCAAAACAATATCCTCAAAGTGTTGGCTATTAGAAGAGCTAAACACACATACAAAGAGAATCCTTCAGCGTCTTGCGTCTTTTTAATTTGTCTATATTGAGGGATATATGGAGCGACACCTCCTATTATCATAGCACCAGCAGCTCCAAAGCCCACCAGATGGCCCACAGTGAGCCCCAACTCATCGGAAATAATCCAATCCATTTTTATCAATTACTTTGTTTGTATAAAATTTAAGTGAGTTTTATGTAAGCTCCCGTTTAACGCACCTCGTTAATAATGCTAACGTTAAATTCATATTATGTTTTTAAACTACTTCTGAAAACATAATATGTTAAAAGTTATCAAAATAAGGTTTCCTAACTCTGAACAAATATTTAAAAAAAAATTAAAGAAATGGTCAAGTTATCGTATTAACAACGGACTAAGACAAAAAACTTAATTGCAATGTTCAAACCAGTGATCTAAAATGATTTTAATCTCTGATTGAAATAAAAACAGATTTTGACATTTACAGCGCTTTTTTTTAAGGAATTTTCTGACCTGGTAACTAAGATCTTTAAGTCATGTCTTATTATTATTAAAATTCTTATTTTATGAAAAATTATAATATGGAGTGAAATGAAATAAAATGAAGATTAATTTGAAACATTAATCAACTGGGATTAAATTAAATTAAATGAGATGATATGGGATGATATATAATCTCCGTAAAACGGTGGTCATTTACTGCGACTTTTTCAGTGGACTTTTTGGAAGATTCCCACATTTATGCACTTTCACAGATACTAAACAGCTATTAAGTACACATTGAAACCTGAAGAAACACTAAATAGACAAAATAAAACAAATCACACAACTTCACTCTTCGCGTTCCCGCCAAAAAGTCTATTAATATTATAAATTAGTTACCTACTACATAATTATAGAGTGGCTAATCGAAGAGTTTTCTCTATGTTATTGGATATGTCCATTTATAAATAGAGAATGGTTTTACTTTTTTTAATTTGATGCTTCTTCAGATTTTAACGAGCAAATATTAGTCGCTTAAAGGCTTTGTAGTATCGGTGAAAAAGCACAAATGAGTCGTCTATTATCAAAGGTGGCAATCTGTGCATTTGGAAAAACATTTTTTATTGATATGTCAATACAGATTGATTTGAATATAATCGTCTCCTTCAAAGAATACGGTTCAAAACCTGCATTAAATAAAGGTTAATAGTTAACCTGTTATTTATCTAAGATGTCGTTCCGAAGAGTTTTGTGACTGCCAATGGAATACAAAGTCAATAATTCGTTTTTCTGTTTTACCAATCATTGTCCAAAAGTCAGATTGCCGGCTTTGATAATAGTCGACTCAAATATAGAAAAATGAAATCGATTTGCTTAACATAGCTTTTTCCGAAAAGTCCAATGACGTTTCTACCGTTCAGTAAAATACTGAGTATTTTATTTTATCTCATCTGAACTCCTTTAAATTCTATTTCATTTCTTTAGTAAGTAATTTTCTAAGTAGTGTAATATTTTATATTTTTTATTGTTTTTAACATTTTCTTTTTCGTGTAACAAAAGTGGCTGTTTCGTTAAGTTTCATTTGCCTGACTAATTAACAAATAAGATAGTTTGATTGATGATAGCAATGATAGCTACGTAAACTTCAAAATTAAGTAAATAACTAAGGTTATTTTTATCAACTATATAGGAAATTTTTGACGATGAAATAACAATAAGGAGGTTGAGTTTTTTTTTACCATTCTGTTAAATAGCACACTTAAAAGTGAACGATGACTTTAATATCAAAATTTTTACCGCTTTTACGGAACGGTAGCACCACTGAAAAGATTCCTGCCATATTACAAACTAAATTTAGAACTAATACCCGTTACTTCTCTTCTGAGAAAGAAAGTGGTTTGACTAAATCCAAAAGCAAGGAAAGTGCTTCTCATGTATCTACAGATGTAAGACCCTTAGGAGAAAAAATCAAAGAAACTACAAAAACTGTTTCTTACACCGGCGTAATACTTCTCGGTGTCGGAGTCACAGGTGTGATTTTCTTTTACGTTTTTCGAGAACTCTTCTCAAGTAACAGTCCGAACAGCATTTACTCAGAAGCTCTTGAGAAGTGCAAACAGGTAAATTACTTTGTGTGAAAGAAATCTTGTTTACATTATGATAAATTTACAGATTATTTAATAAACAAAGTAAAATTTTTCTATATCATTAATCATTAGCATTGCATAATGCAGAATGCAGTACAGTAGTCAGTATTAAAGTAAGTAATGAACAGGGAAAACAAACACTATATAAAGTATTGTTTACCAAGTATTTATTAAATTATTGTCGATTGCAGGATCCTAGAGTAGAAGATGCTCTAGGTGCACCAATAAAAGGTTATGGAGAAGAAACAACTAGGAGAAGACGTACCCATGTCAGTCATGCAGTATATGAAAAAGATGGAGTGAAACATATGAGAATGAGATTCTATATTAAAGGGATAAGAAATAAAGGTGTTGTCGAACTTGATATGAAACAAGTAAGTTCTGTTTAAATCGAAATGTAGTTTAACAACTTAAAAGTTCAAATAACACTATACATCTGAGTAATTTGTATACACCTCATCAATTTCTTATAATCTCTGTTTAAAATTTTCTATTTTAGTAAATTCATTTAATATCTTTCCAATACACCGGTACACTTATTTGTTTTTTCAGAATGATTATGGAAACTATATGTGCAGATATTTGCTGGTACAACTTGATGACTACAGTGGAAAAACATTTATAATTGAGGACAACCGAGCTGAATTAGATAATACCAAACCTGATATCGCATTTCCAACCTTAACTCTCACTCAGTGATATAAAATTAACTATGTAACATGTAAATAGTAAACTAGATATCGAATAAATGATTAGCAAAATAAAATTGTTTTGTTTCATATTATTATGTAAAGTTGTAGTTTAAAAAATAAACATATAGTAAGCACTTTCATATTGAAATCTTTGAAATATATAGAATACTATACCTTCTTCTGACACCATAAGAATAGTTTTGGAATATTAATCTTATTAATTAAATTCTTTGTGCCAATGAAACTTAATGCTTATAATATCATTTTATTGCAAACATTAAAACATATTTATCCTTATTAATAATTAAAGTGAATTTTACAGTGAAGACTAGAGATTGGCACAAATCAATTATTTCGCAGTACAATTTTATAGATCTTACATAAGTTCGTCATTCAAATGTTTTCCAAGATTGTACTTTCCATGACATGAGAAGTCGATTGGTAAATATAAATTCTTTAACTTTATTGAAGAACCAATGGAATATCACTACAAAAGAGAGATATTGAGGCCAAGCCCATTTAAACTCTTGTAGTATACTAGGAGTGTATCTTATTTGCATCTCTGGAATTCTTAGATGAACTTGAACAGTCATAGAATCTGTCTGGCCATTGTAGGTTCTAGAATTTATCGTTCTGACTTCTGTGGTAACTGAAAATAGTTTATTTTTTGGTTATGAATGTAGTTGAATAAATATGCTGTAGGTTTACTTATATCAGTGGTTACTGGACTCTGGTAACATTAGAACTTGAATGCTACTCTGCAGATCACATTAGGCTGACGTATCAATAAAGGCTAACCCACACTTCAAACTGAAATTAATGGCAGCAGCAGAACCACAGAAATAATAGCAGAACTGTATAACTGACTTGTAACTGGTATGGACTTTCAATGCGCCCGAATGGTATAGTAATTAGGGATAACCAGGAAGTGTAGATCTACTGTGGATCGATTATGAAAAATAATAGACAAACTATTATCAAGTAACTTTCTTTGGCCTATTATCCGGCTGTTGAAAGAATGAATACCTAATTAGTTTTGATCCAATGGACAGCGGAGCATTATGTTTTTTATTAAGTAACTTGAGTTTATTTGCCTTACTAAAGAAGGATTATCATTGATAATCAATCATCATCAAATCATCTTTATTAACTCAGGATAAATGTTACAATTTTGTGTTAAAATTACTGTAGGTTTATGGCCTTCTGTCTGTGACTGGACAACAATAGCCATTATTTTTGTCTTCAATGCTGTTACCAATATTAAAATATGAATAAGCACAAAATGTATATTTGTAAAAATAAATAATCTTACCTTCTCTATGAAAATAATCAGACAGATAATGATCAATAGACATGTAACTTTCCCATTTTTCAATTTCAAATAAAGATCTGTTATATTTCGTATCTTGATTAAACCATTCACAAGGTAAGTGGGTCGTTTGATAAAAATTTAGATCTCCATGAAAAATTAATTCTGATGGTGGTATTACAAACTCTTTGGTAATCAATGCCAAGCTCTGCATTTGTAAAGGGCATATTGTCTGCAAGAAGAAAACAAAAGGATTCTATTAAAGTATTTGTTCCATATTTATAGCACCTATTTATAAAATATAAATAAACAGAAAAGATTTAATACCTTTTTTTATTAAATATCTAAAATGTCAAAAATAGTTAAAAATACCTTCAGCTGAAAATCAAGAGATAAAATTAATAAAATAGAAGACACAGTTCTGTCTGGTGGTATATTTAGGTGAAATTTAATATACAGCTCATCCTTTTTGCCATCTCCAGTGAAATCATTTTCTTGAACCTGGAAATACATGTTTTTAAGAATTTGTCAAATCTGTAGTTGGTCATGTTATCAGTATAAAATGTACACAGTGTATTTAGTCTTATTTCATAACAAACTCATGTCTATATAGTTATGTAATTTATATTTACACAGTACAATTCTTTCGATAAAAATTCATTACCTGCATTTCTGCACATGATTCAGAGCTTTCTTCATTATCATTACCAAACAATCCAATTTCTGTACAAAGTATGGGTTTACTGGGATCCTCAGTTTCGGCTATTAGTACATACTCATACGTAAAATGAACAGTTGGCTGTTCATAAAAACTGTGATATTTCACCCAGAGCCCTGTAAAAATACATATTTGTATTACGATCTTATATTTCGATATCTATTCGGAAATTACTGGCTATTTCAAATAATTTAATTTTAACGATAATAGGACCGTTTCTGTATACTGTTAAGTATTTTCTGGACATGGTTCACTCAGCTGATTTTAGCAAGGCTAAATTGGAGTTCTAACCTCTACTTTTCTGAGCTATAATAAAAGGCAGTATAATATTCAACATAGACGTAAAAAGAGTAAAGAACATGGCTTTGGAAAGGAAGGTACTTTTATACTGTATTTCGACATTTGAACTAAACAATTTGTACAAGCTCATTTTAAAATATAAAATTTACAGTGTTTTCGGTGTACTAATATGCGTAAAATGTTAAATATCATTGGCATTGACCTGCAAAACAAACCGTTGCTAAGCAACGACTTTTTTAGGGCAGAGGGTTTTTCTGAATTTTTTTACAATGAAATGCAAACTTTAAATTCCTGAATCATAAATAGATATGTACTCTAGAAGCGTTAAATTAAGGAATATAAAGAAATAATAACTCAACATCAACTGGTCAAAAGGCGAGCTATAGCTCTCGTTTACATATATATCATTTTTCAACTCTGATTCTAGGATGGTTAATGATCATTTTAGCAATCATAAATCTTTACTGGTCGTGGAGCTTCGTGTGAGTCCATACTTACATCACCCTGCCTATTTCTACCGCGAAAAAGTAATGCATTCCAGTTTGAAGAGTGGGGCAGCCGTTATACTATAACATTGAGACATCAACCTCATATCTCAAGGAGGGTGGGATGTTATTAATGTCGTGATGTCTATGGGCTCCCGTAACCACTCAACTCCAGCTAAACAGTAAGCACGTTCACCAAATTATGAAAGTTTAGATTTTTTCTGAGAACGGAGTCCAAAATTCTTCAATATTGATACGAGTTCTCTTCTGTCAGAGACACTCAATAAGAAGTAGATCCGACCTTACGCTTCTAGAGTCAGAATAAATAGGTGTTTATCGTTTATTTTTAAAGAATAAAATATATATTTTATTATTGTAAAATTTTCTACATGCACCATAGCTTAATGTTAAGACGCCCAGGGTTGTGGTTGAAGGCATTTGTGTTGTCTATTGGACTAAACGACCATTTAATTTTAATCTTAGTTTAACCGTGAACTCATTCATTCATCTACGGAAGTGAACTATGTTTTTCAGCAAGGATCCTGGCGTAGACAAAGGGAGGGAGGCGGGTTTGGTTCATAATGCCGGCCATTCAAACGAACACTTCGTTTCAAGGTGCATATGAATTAAGCTTTTCCGCCAATACAGTATTTAATATACTATTAAATATATACCTATTAGCTTTCTAAATGTTCCGGTACCCTAGTGAACTTTTATGTACTTTTAATATTTAAGTGCACTATGAAAGTCCCGCGTTTTGATGTTTTGAATTCACTGACATCTACTCACTATAACTTATATTGGTATTATATTCTAATATTAACTCTCAATGACGGGTAATAAGATGGTCAATTTAATATGGAAAATACTTAATAATAAGTAACAAGACAAAAATTACGAGTCTTGAACAATTCTAAATTCACCATCTATGGCAATGGGATAGAGGAAGAAAAATTGTCGTGACAACAAAATAAATGTTACTGCATGCCTACATGTTTAAATATTCAAAAAATTAAATCATTTATGGCTTTTTACACAAGAAATGCTAAGATAATAGGTATCTCGCTTAAATTCTAGTGCCTAAGATATTGTGGTTCCCTCCCTTTGGTGACTTGGAGACCAGCGAGGGACACCGAAGAAGAGGATCTCAACTGCTCTGCATGGATCTTGCGAAATAGCAATCTGGTCTTCGGCAACCCGTGGGGATTTAACGATTGTATATTATAAATTTTTATTTATTTTAATCAATAAACCTTATTAAAGGCACGATAGGAATGCAAATCCTACTTATTATTATCGCAAGAAGCCAATTTTTCCAATTTAAAGATTAGGCTGTGTTGTTTATTGGAGGCGATTATTACGAAAAAACAAAAATAGACAAATCGAAAAAATCTTGATTTTCTTGTCGTGCGCAACTAACCATTACGTAAACAAATGAACCGAATTGATTTAGGTATTTTTGGATGGTAGCTCCTACTTAAATTTTACGAAATTCGTAGCTAATGAACGTTAATGATATCTGGAATTATTATCAAGCACAGTGAATTGCTGAGCCGCCGTTTCTTTTTTTGTTTCAATATTTAAAATTGAAAACATATTTTTTTTTTATTGGCTTGATGGGTGGACGAGCTCACAGCCCACCTGGTGATAAGTGGTTACTGGAGCCCATAGACATCTACGACGTAAATGCGCCAGCTACCTTGATATATAAGTTCTTAGGTCTCAAGTATAGTTATAAAGGCTGCCCCACCCTTCAAACCGAAACGCATTACCACTTCACGGCAGAAATAGGCAGGGTGGTGGTACCTCGCCGGTACTCGGCGACTGTACCTTGGGGTGGTGCGCAGTATGGCCCTGTACGGTGCTCCCGTGTGGTCGCCCGCACTCTCCGCGAGAAACGCGGCTCTGCTGCATAGAGCTCAGCGGGCGCTCGCGGTGAGGGTCATCAGGGGGTACCGCACCATCTCTCAAGATGTGGCCTGCGCTCTCGCCGGATACCTACCCTGGGACCTCGAGGCCGAAATCTTGGCTGCGGTATATCAGCGTAAGGCGCAGGCCTTGAGTCGGGGACGGTCGCCCGGCCCGTCGGCTGTCGGTCGGTGGAAGCGTGCTGCGCGTCATGTAAGTGGAGAGAGCGATTGCTGAAAGAACTTGGCCAAACTTCGGCCACCCGCCGGCGCACCCTCGAGGCCCTGGTGCCCGTGCTGGAGGCATGGTCGGATCGGCGTCACGGCGTACTCTCCTTTCACATTGCGCAGGTCCTCTCGGGACATGGCTGTTTCGGGAGGTACCTGTGGAAGGTCTGCAGGAGAGAGCCACATCCGGGCTGCCACCAGTGCGGGCACCCGGACGATGACGCGCAGCACGCGCTCGAAGCGTGCCCGCGTTGGGAGCACTCGCGGCGAGATCTAGTCGCGGTGCTGGGGAGAAACCTCTCCCTGCGGGCTGTCGTCGCCCGCATGTTAGAGGATCAGGGCTCGTGGGAGGCCATGGCCAGGTTTTGTGACCTGGTAATGGCGTCCCGTGAGGCTGAGGAGCGTGAAAGGGAGTGGGATCCCTCTTCAGCACCTCAGCGCAGAAGGCGGGATGGCCGGCGCGGGCGTGAAGCTCCCGCTCAGCCCCCGTAGGGACTATCAGGTGGCGGGTGCGGGGGCGCCCGGTACTCGACTGTCGGTCCGGTGGTGGGGCGGTGCAAGGTGGCTCCTGTGCGCCGCCCACGGTGTATCTCCCGAAATGACGTCCTTCGGGATTTTCCCGGAGATGAAATCCCGTCTTATCATCAGGACGGGTACCGGCGAAGGCGGACTTTCGGCGCGCACTGCGGTACCGTAGGTCTGGTGTGGCCGGTGTGGTGGAGCTCGATGGGGTTTAGTCGGTAGTCGTTCTGCGGGGCAAGTGCTTCGCGCGCCTTTTTCAAGGCGTAGTCTCTTGCGAGGAATTCGGGGAGGTGGAGGACCTTCTCGTCCCCCTCTTCCTCTCAGGAGGCGCCGGAGTCCGACATAACCCGGTTCGTTACCCACCCGGACCGGGTATCCGTAAATGGATTCGGACTCAGAAGAGGTCCTACCACCAGTAAAAAATCATTGAATTCAGATAATACTGATGTAATTGTAGTCTTGTGGGCGACATAAGATTTAGTACTAAAAGTGTAATACGTTTTGGCTTGCGTTTGGTCTTTTCTCGGCGGAAGACAATAACAAAATTCCTTAAACTTACGGAAATAAAAATAACAGTATAATAATATGTAATAAGCTATAAACTTGCTAAAATGAATAAGTTAATTCAACTATAATTATGTACAAACGAGATGAAACCTTGCTCAGTAACCGAACCTGCCCATCCGCCCTTTTGTTTTCTCACAAAACAAAAGCAACACATTTTAATTCTATGGAACGTGTAGGTACTTCCTAACTTGTTCTTCTGCATGAACAATATGTATTTTGAAAATAGGCATTGAACTTAAAGTAAAAAACATCATTTCTCAATTCAAACTCAATTTTAATCCTAAAACATTGAGTTTTAATAATTGAAACTAAAACACAGTCATATAGATTAGTCATAGAGTCATAGTCATAGAAATCAAAACGCAGTCAGATTTTTTGTAAATTGTAATGAAAAACAGTTGTATATTTTTATTTTTAAATGGAAATGAAGGTAAAATTACCTATTGTTAAAATTGTTAATATTATAATTCACAAGCTATATCAAATAAGTAACTTATATCTTAGTTGGTAAACGCTAGTTGTGTAGTAGCCGAACTTAGTTTCAGGTATTCTTGTTAGTGCACATTTGAGTAAGCACAGACAATAGAAGAGTTACAAGCCGTTGAGTGCGGCGCCCGTCCCGACAACTGATACCTTCCCATTAAATTGTCTAGTACTTGCTGACCATAGTATATAAGCAGCCCCAAACAAGCAAACAGCACCATTCGCTCGGGAATCGTCCCGGAGCACAGTCAGGTTCTATACAAGAACTCAAACTTACCTAAACGTACAGCATTTACGCCAAGATGTCTATGGTCCGAAGATCTAGCATGGACCGAATGTCCTCAAGCATGACCTCCAGCATGACCGGAATGGGTCTTGGTGGAATCACCGGCATAACAACAGGAATGAGTACGATGAGCTGCACTAGGGAACAGCCGATGACGATTGGTGGGATGCCATCTAATTACGTTCCTGGCTTGTCGGCATACTACAACATTTCGAGCTTTTGCCAGCGTCCGGGCCAAACACGTCGCTGGCCGATGCAACGAGCCGGCCCTACAGCCCAACATCGTCCCGGTCGCTCACACAGCACTGGCGCGCTGCATCGCATGAAACATTCCATGAGAAACAGCCCTAACACTCAATACACCCATAATTTGATCTGCAAGATGGCTGATCAGAATGAACGCCGTCGTCGACAGGATACGTTAGAAATGATACCACAGAGCTACTACTCACAGCAACCTCTTAAAGTGGAGTTAACTGAGTTCTACTCTCGGGATAACTCCAAAGATCACCACACAGAACAATATGATCTGGTCAACGACAACATTCTTCCAAATCCTGTTCTTCGCCGAGGCCAAAACTTCTTCTTTGCTGTTCGCTTTGATAGGACATATGATAAACAACAGGATATGATTCGCCTCGTGTTCTGTTTTGGTATGAAATTTATTCAAGTATTTCGAATATTATTAAGACCTGCAACATCAAATTAAGAGCTTTTTCTATTTCTGATAATTATTGTTAATTTACAGGTCCAAAGCCCAGTGTCACAAAAGGCACTCGAGTTGTTTTGCCCGTAAACTGGAGCACACAACAGGGCGTTTTCCAACATTCACGGGAGATGATGGGTATGGGCATGGGTTTGGGTATGTCTCGTATCCAAGATACAAGCACTGGAATGGCAACAATGGGCACGATTGGTACCATGGGCACAATGAGTTCCATGGGACCTATGAGTGGCATGAGAGAAACGACCACTTACGGAGTACGTCGCAGCTCATTTAGCAACGAACCCCTGCCACTCCAACATAGTCCACTTAGTCCTCATGGACCCATGGATAGACCAATGATAGAGCGCTATGGAGGAACTACTCAGCATTCATCATTTGGACGTGGATACGGATCACGTCATGGATCTCGTCACGGGTCAATGCAAAACTTAGCTGCACTCGCTCACGACATGGACCGATGGGACATTAGTATACAGCGTCAAGATGGTAATACGATTACCTTCCAAGTTCACGTTCCCGCTACTGCTCCCGTCGGCGTGTGGAACTGCTGGGTGCAGACCAATCGTTTTGGTCAGCGTGACAACCGACACGATTACAAATGTGACGAAGATGTTTATATTCTTTTCAACCCGTGGTGCCGCGAAGATCCCGTTTACATGGATAATGAATCATCACGAAAGGAGTACGTACTTAATGAGCAAGGCAAAATTTGGTGTGGTACCTGGCGTCAACCCAAGGGTCGAAAATGGATTTATGGACAGTTTGATGATGTGGTATTGCCTGCTTGTATGTACTTATTGGAGCGCAGCGGCTTGGAACATTCTGAACGTGGTAACCCTGTCCGTGTTTGCAGAGCTATTTCGTCAATGGTAAGTGGTATTAAAATCCCTAGAACATCCTCTAATGATATCAAAAATTGACGAAATTTAGTAACAAAAATCATTACAGATCAATGCCAACCATGATGACGATGGTCTAATGGTGGGTCGCTACGATAGTGAATATAAGGATGGTGTTGCACCTCACGCTTGGACAGGTTCAGTTGCGATTCTGGAACGCTACCTGTCCGACGGCGGCCGACCTGTTGAGTACGGCCAATGCTGGGTGTTCTCCGGCTTGGTTGTAACTATTTGCAGGGCTCTTGGTAACTAATTGTTTTGTTTTTGGCACTTTAGTGGCTAAGTTATTATTTGATACGTCACAGGTTTTTTTTTTTTATTGCTTAGGACGAGCTCACAGCCCACCTGATGTTAAATGGTTACTGGAGCCCATGGACATCTACAACGTAAATGCGCCACCCACCTGGAGATATAAGTTCTAAGATCTCAGTATAGTTACAACGGCTACCCCACCCTTCAAACCGAAACGCATTACTGCTTCACGGCAGAAATAGGCAGGGCGGTGGTACCTACCCGCGCGGACTCACAAGAGGTCCTACCACCAGTAACAAACACACAGCTGTCCAATGTTTTCATCAGGACCTTAGATTTCAATAAAGGATATACGTAAAACTTTAAGCAGCCAGGTCTAAGATCTAACTTCTATTAATAATAATTAAACAGAACTATTACAATTGCAGGTTTATTACGTAGCTAGAAAATTGTTTGTTTTTATTATGTCATCTCTATAGGTATTTTTATAAAACTATGCATTTCACAGGTATTCCTTGCCGTTCAGTAACGAATTATGTATCAGCTCATGATACCAACAGGACCTTCACGGTGGACAAATACTTTGACCGCGACGGAAATGAGGTACCGAATGGTCCGGACGAAGACTGTTATGATTCTTGCTGGAATTTCCATGTTTGGAATGATGTTTGGATGCAAAGACCGGACTTACCACAAGGGTACAGTGGCTGGCAGATCATTGATTCGACACCTCAGGAGGAGTCTGAATCTGTTTATCACTGTGGGCCGGCTAGTGTGGAAGCTGTTCGCCGAGGTGAAGTTGGCTTCCAATATGACACGCCATTTATGTACTGCCAAATAAATGCTGAGCTTTGCCACTTCCAAGAGGAAGAGAACTCGGAATGGGGATTCATTAGAATGGCCTCTAATCAATACCAGTAAGGAAATAACATAATAAACCCTACAATTTTATTGGGAATGCTGAATTAACATTAATTTGCGACTACTATTTCAGAGTCGGACGGAAGATTCTTACGAAAAATCCAAGCCGCGATGATGACGAGGGAGAGAGTGACATGCTGGAGATCACTCACGAATATAAGACTGTAGACAGCTCGTCACCCGAGCGTCTCGCTATCATTGCCTCTTGCCGCGGATACCAACGCTTGCAACAGTACTATGAGTACCCAGACCGCAACTTTGAGGATGTGTATTTCGACCTCATGGATATTGACATAGTGCCTTACGGACAACCATTTGATTGCACCATGAACATTCAGGTAACACTCAATCATTAAAACTAATTTTTATTTCTCCACATAATTTACCTACTAACATTTATTGTTTACGGTTTTTTACAGAACAAATCTCACGAAGATCGTACCATCTGGTGTGTTCTAACAGCATCTTCATGCTACTACACTGGCGCAATCGCTTCGCGTGTGCGAAGGGCGCAGGGTGAGTTCATCGTTCGAGCTGGACAGCGAGAAGTATTGAAGCTTCACGTGACTCCTCAAGAATACATGGATAAACTAGTAGATCACTCCATGGTGAAGGTGCATGCCATGGCTTATGTAAAACAAACTCGCCAGGCTTGGTCTGATGAAGATGACTTCCCGCTGCACAAGCCACGCATGCAAGTGCAGGTAAGAATGATGCCGTTAGTAAACAGGAAAAAAAGATAACAGATTTTTGTTAATACATGCTGATTTAAAATATTAGGTGAGAAGCCAGCCGTGCGTAGGTCAAGAATGCGCCATCACCTTCAGTTTCCAGAACCCATTGAATGTCCAACTGACGGACTGTTACTTCACATTCGAAGGACCTGGTGTTCAAAGGCCAAGACAGGTAAATTTAGATTGTCAATCATAGCTTCGGTAAAGTAAAAGAATGCGTTGAACTAAAAATGATGATCTTTCAACAGATACGATTCCGTGACGTGAAGCCTGGTGAGTTCGTGAATTACCAAGACAAGTTTGTGCCGCGGCGCCAGGGAGAGCGCCGCATCGTGGTGACGTTCTCGTCGCGGCAGATGGACGAGATCTTCGGATGCACGTCGGTGACCGTGCGCGGCTAGCTAGCCCCCGGGCCCCGGGCGCCCTCGCCGCGCGTCTCGCCGGGGCCGGCTTCCCCTCCAGCGCTACAGATGGACCGCTCTTTCGTCTCATATGTAGCGCCTGAACAAAATTTGTACGTTCAGGAGGAAGAAGTACTTATCATTAAATCCGCTTAATTTAGTTATCGAACGTACAAATGGCATTAACTTATTTTAATTTTATATCTAGTTTACTCTGTTATGACGACGACATGGCTTGTTTAATGGATTTTGTTTATCATACTTCACTAGCACGTTACGAAATAATAAACCTAAAAAAATGTTAATCACGTTTATCACCGAGTGACTTATAACTTAAAAATAGTAATATTATTGCATTTTTGATTATAATATCGTATAACCGATGCTTCGTGTGCCATTTGTGTTTAATAACGACTCTTTGACGAAAAGAGCTTACTTAGTCTTAAATAAAATTAAGTTTAATATATTATATATGTATACGATTTATATGATTTTAATTATATTTTAAAGTTTCATTTATAGTATTATATTGATTTAATATGTATTTGAAATATGTACTCACAATAATTTGCACGGTGTTTGTGTGTTTTTGGGATCTCAAAAATAAAATGCATTCACTGCAACTTATGTCATTTATTTAATACGTAAACATTACATATCTTGCCTTATTTTCAACATTGGTAACATGTCTTAATTATTTTAAACGAATAAAACGACAAAAATGTCGCAACAATGTTGCTAATAAACATAAATTTTTGTCCACGTATCGTAGTATATAATAATATGTTAGCATTATGGTTTCAACCAAAATTTACCAGTAGTTGTTGCGTCAAAAATTAACAAACATCCTCAAACTTATTCGCATTCATAATATTCGTTCTATAAAATTCGTTACAAAAACAACATTTAGTTGAAATGAAATTTAAACCCATAAAGATTGTGAAAATTTTAATTGTAATAATTCATGATCAACAATTTTCTTCAATATTAAGTTCAATAGAACTTTCTGTTTAACGGGACGAATTTCATATTCAAAAGCTAGTTTCTGTCTAATTTTGTCGCGAAGTTATCAAGCATTCTACTTTCAAAAGCAGGATAGATAACTAAATTGAGATATAGACTTAAAATCTCAAAGTGTGACCGTGTCGTGTTTGACTGACAACCTTTACACAATACAATTAACCTTAATATTTCTAGGTGGTTAGCTGCATGTTTATACCGGCGGTGTATTTTAACCGGCCGTCTAGTGTAGTGGTAAGTGAGATGGTCTCTAGACAAGGGGGTCGCGGGTTCGAATCCCGCCAAGGGATGATATTTGTATGATAAATATAAAATGTCTTTTCCAGGGTTATGGATGTATATTAAATATATGTATGTGTATAATAAAAATCTTACATTTATTTCCGTTATCTGATACCTGTAACACAAGTTCTTTAGGATCTCAGCACGGGATCAGTTAACGTGGCGTGATTGTCAGTAAATATTTATTTATTTATTTGATGTCTATGGGCTCTGGTAACCACTCTACATCAAAAGGGGTTTTTGAGCTCCTTCATAAAAATGTGAACATTAAAACGAATGTGAACAAAACATATTATAATGAATATATGGAGCCACAGGTTGAAGATAAGAACAATGAGTAACATAACAGGATGAGCGCGTAATTATTTCACAACGTTGGAGAAATTGCGTAAATATTTCATGTCCTTATTTTAGGAATCGAATCATTGTGACTTGTTCTAAACAGTTCTAATATTGCGCAATCGAAGTTATTTAATAATTACACGTTACGATAAACTGTAGAATAGTAGTATAATTAATATAGTTCAACAGATCGTGAGTATTGTGAGTTCATACGGGCTTTTACCGCGATACCGTTTATTTGTCTTAAGGAAATGATTCCAGTCACCGTCGAAGGGCTCGACGAAGGGCTCGGCGAGTATATTAAACCATAGAGTGACCTCAGTGACCTGAGTTTCTCTCAGTGGGTCACGTTTCCGATCCGGTGGTAGATTCTGCGAAGCACTGCTCTTGCTAGGGTCAATGTTAGCAACACCTCCGGTTTGAGCCCCGAGAGCTCATCTACACGCTAGGGCAACGCTGAAATAGCCTTTCAAGGCTATCAGCATAGGTGGGAAGAAAAACAAAGGAAATTAATGCGTTTAGGTTAGATTGAGTACGCGGATTTCCTTGAACTAGAGGTCCGCAGTAATCGAAATTCGACTATAATTAATTGGAATTGTAAGTTTGTACACTATTATGATTGTATTTTATACTTCTATAATCACAAATTTCGCCAAGACAACACTATAAAAATATTAAGAAAGACAAACAGTATTTAATCTATTCTCAATTTGACAACAGACGTCAAGAACAAAAGTTTGACAATAAATAGTATGCATGCGTGTGTGCGTCAAATACATGGTATGTAGTGTGTGTAATGTTTTCTTTATTGATTTAATGTATCTTTTATGCATTATTTAAAAAAAATATTAGCATTGTGCACTTCTTCTCTACATTCTCTATAAGTGTGGAAAATTTCACACTCCTGCGTCCGCTCAATTTTCGTAAAAAGGGATACAAAGTTTTTGCTTCACGTATTAATATATAGATGAATTTGTTTAAGCGGAATCGGGGAAAGGGCTTAATAAGAGTATACGAGTGTTCTAAACGAAAATGAAATTTCGAGTTCAAGGCACGTTTAATTAATTTTATATACATATTTATTGATTTAGCATTTCGTTCTTCAAATCTTTTAGATTTTATAAAGCTACCCGAAATTCTCATTCTGACTCATAAAAGGACCTTAACACGATTCACCAAACACAAATAGCGAAACAAAGCGAACTTTATTTTGAAGAAAACGTGAAACGTGCTTTGGCCAACGTTTGGCGTCAAGCTCAGTTACATCAGAACTATGCGATGACTGTTCTCTTAGCAAATGTACTCCCTACTTGTTATGATTCGTTTGAATGGAATGTGATGAATCCCGTATTAGGGAATTAACAATATCTTTCCAAGAACTAAATAGTTTAAGGGGTTTCCACAGTGGACGGTTGGACAGATTGGCTGCGTGGTGCCTAGTATCATTCTATCTCCAACCGTGGATGCCGTGAGAGGAGACTATGAGTTTCATTCGACGAACAGGCAGCAGCTTTTTTTGTAGTAATTTGCTGGTAGCCCAAAGGGTTATCCTAGGTACGCCCGGACGGGTAGGTCAGCTCACGGGCTGAACCTGAGAGAACTTGCTAAGACTAGTCCTAGCAAGAGCAGCACTTCACAGAATATACCACCGGATCGGAATGACGACTCACTGAGTAGATCCGGCAAGAAACTCGGTGGGCTCAGCAACATTCTCTGAGTATTATCAGCACATTGCGAACGCAACTTACTGGTGATGGACGAGCTCACAGCCCACCTGGTGTTAATTGGTTACTGGAGCCCATAGACATCTACAACGTAAATGCGCCACCCACCTTGAGATATAAGTTCTAAGGTCTCAGTATAGTTACAACGGCTAGCCCACCCTTCAGACCGAAACGCATTACTGCTTCACGGCAGAAATAGGAGGGGTGGTGGTACCTACCCGTGCGGGCTCACAAGACACCCTAGCACCACTAATCGTAATGTCATTATAAAAATGTCAAACAATAAATTGTCTACACAAGCCCAGTGTAGAATTTTAATTTATTTGTCAGAGAAATAAGTACTTAGGTCATTAACGCGGTGCAACCAGACGCAATAGATAAAATAATAATAAAAAATTAGACATCATATTATATGCATATATTTTGATGAGAAATGTTTAAAAGCATCGACTCAGGTGCTGTGGTGGAATCGGTTATAACGTCAACGACTTCCATAATCCAGCACGACCCTTTCGCCAAGACTCAGCATCATAATGCTCGATCCCCAAAAACGTGGCTAGAACGGAACATTTCTCACATAATCATAGTTAAGTCGGGCCGTCATCTACTTATTTTTACTGGTGGTGGGACCTCTTGAGAGGCCGCGCGGTTGGGTACCACTACCCTGCCTATTTCTGCCGTGAAGCAGTAATGCGTTTCGGTTTGAAGGGTGGGGCAGCCGTTGTAATTATACTTGAGACCTTAGAACTTATATCTCAAGGTGGGTGGCGCATTTACGATGTGGATGTCTATGGGCTCCAGTAATCACTTAACATCAGGTGGGCTGTGAGCTCGTCCACTCAAGCAATAAAAAAAAAATTAACATTATGGCCGTCTACTTATTTATGATCACTATTAGAACCACGGAATAGATAAATAAGGTTATTCATCTATTCCGTGATTAGAACGCACGACATGCTCTAAGCGCCGCGGCGCCGTGGTAACTTAGAGACCCTTCCATAAAACTTAAGAAATTTTCATTAGATTAATTAGGATGTTCCGTAAGGTAGTGCAGGAAGCAAGTATTGAAAGTGATAGTTGGACATAACGTTCAAAGGATTTTTATCAAGACCGTTGAAAATAGAATTGATAAAAACGACGTTTTCCTTGTAGTAATATTATGGCGGAATGTGGCGAGCCTGTCTAAATTGTAGGTACTCTAGTATAGTCAGTTCATGTTTTTTTTATGAAAGCTGAAACTCAGTAAGAAGACTGATTGTTATTCCCGTCGAAAAAGTTTTGATTTATTCTCATATCGCAAGAAACTCCATATGTAAATTCGAATCGTGCGAACAGTTGAATTAATTCTCACTTATCTTTTAACCGACTGAATGTTTTAGAATTATCAAAATTACGTAAATGAAAATCTGTGAAGTCTCTGACATTTTATGAATTTCGATCGAAAAAAAAAAAATGATTCACTTCATGTATTACTTACGCACATTAGAACGATTTTTACTAGGTCAGAGGAAAGGTAACGTTATTGTTAACGTTAAATAAATCATGTTTATTACTAATTTAATGTGTGGTAATTGTTCGCTGTCATTGGATAATACGTTTTCGGTTTATTATTCCTTTGGTATAAAGTATATA